TAGGGAGAAACTTCTCTACAAATAGCTGCGTGAACTGCTCCCAAGTCAAAGCTGGTGATCTGGCTGGTCTAGCCAAGCAATAATCTCTCCACCAAGTCTTGGCGGATCCAGACAAGCGAACAATAGCAAAATCGACCCCATTGGTCTCCACTATCCCCATGTTCCTGAGAACCTCATGACAGTTATCTAGATAATCTTGGGGATCCTCAGAAGATGCACCGCTGAAAGTAGTAGTGAAGATCTTGGTGAACCTGTCCAATCTCCACAAAGCATCGGTAGACATAGCTGCTCCATCATCGGTCTGGGCTACCACACCCGGCTGAACCGCTCCAACTGGCGAAACTGCTGGAGTCTGAAACTGGAGAGCTACCTGCTCCGGAGTGCGAGTAGCAGGAGTCTGGACTCCTCCTCTAGCCCGAGAGACGGCTGGTGCTACAGGAAGCAAGCCTGCCCGGGTGACACTCTCCATAAGGCCCACTAGACGGAATAGAGCATCCTGGAGTACTAGGGTAGCAATAAGTCCCTCTGGGACCTGAGCTGGGCCCACCGGAGCTGTTGGGGCCGGAACCTCATCATCAAAGTCAACTTGAGGCTCCGCTGCTGGTGTTGCTGCTCTAGGCTGAGCTCTGCCCCTACCTCGGCCTCTAGCACGGCCTCGGCGTCGCCCTCTGCCCCTCATGGGAGCTGCTTCTGGGGGCTCAGGATGCTGGTCAGCGGTTGAGGAAGCGCGCGTTCTCGACATCTTCGAGAGAACAGAATAGAAATTCAATCAGTCATTGAGAAACCAAACCGCACGACAGGAAAGAAAAGATGGGAAATTTTCCTAACTGTGTAGCCTTTGGGGGATAAATACAGACGTCTCCGTACCGATCCCTCAGACTCTACTAAGCTTGTCCATGAACTGTGAGACCCATGTAACCTAGAGCTCTGATACCAACTTGTCACGACCCGGATTTCCCACCCTCGGGAGTCGTGATGGTGCCTACTAATGTGAGCTAGGCAAGCTAATTCCTTGAACTAATTACTTCATTATCCAATTATTACCTTTTAACAATTTTAAAGCAATAACGTATAAACAACAAAAAATTTAACTTTAAGCGGAAGAAAACAATACAATCTCTGAAAAATGTATCTATTACAACTACTTAAGCCTTAATCACCCAAAACCTGGTGTCACAGTGTCACAGACGATCTAAGAGTGCTAAATACAAAGTTTGAAAATAAAAGATATGTTGTCTCAGAATCAAAGAGATGAAATAGGAAATAAGTGATAGAGGAGACGCCAGGGCCTACGGACGCCTGCAGGTCTACCTTGGATCTCCGCGTGGCCTGAAGGTAACCACTTAATCTACAATCCGAAGTCTACAGTACTGGGATCTGCACAAAAGAGTGCAGAGTATAGTATCAGCACAACCGACCCCATGTGCTGGTAAGTGCCTAGCGTAACCTCGGCGAAGTAGTGATGAGGCTAGGAACAGACTACCAAATAAATCTGTACAGTTATATAATATACAGCGGAAAGTAAAACAGAAATAAACAAGTAAAGATGGGAGGGGGAAAGCATTCTTCGGGGAATAGCAGGTAAAACATAATATCAAGAAAATTATAAAGGAACCAAAATCCAACTACTAACAAGGATAAGGAAAACAAAGACAGAATTCACTTTCATTTCTCATCTTGTTGCAGGCGTGCAATCCGCTCCCATTTCACGTATCTCGTTGCAGGCGTGCAACCCGATCCCATTTCATATATCTCGTGGCAGGCGTGCCACCCGCTCCCATTTCATATGTCACGTGGCAGGCGTGCCACCCGCTCCCATTTTATTTATCTCGTGGCAGGCGTGCCACCCGCTCCCATTTTATTTATCTCGTGGCAGGCGTGCCACCCGCTCCCATTTTATTTATTTGGTGGCAGTCGTGCCACCCGATTCCAATTACAAATCAACAACAACCACAAAGAATCCCGGCAAGGGAACAAGAGCAATATAACAACATCCCGGCAAGGGAACAATAGTATTTCAACAACATCCCGACAAGGGAACAATAATATCAAAACAAATATCCCGGCAAGGGAACAATGATGATAGTAACATGTGAGACACAATAAACCACAACGGAGTCATAACAATTATAATACAAGACTCACGGGCATGCTTGACACCGACGTATAGATACTCGTCACCATGCCTATACGTCGTACTCCACAATTAACACGTAGCAAATACGACACGGCTCCTAATCCCTCAAGCTAAGGTTAGACCAAACACTTATCTCGATGCCACGAACACAATTCACAATTCAATTATAGCTTTACCACTTGATTCCACCACCAATTCGCTCGTATATAGTCACAAGTTACTTAATTACATCAATAAACGCTAAATGAATCAACCCCAATGCATGAAAATGAGTTTTCCAAAGTTTTACCCAAAAAGTCAAAAATCGTTCCCGAGCCCGCGTGGTCAAAACCCAAGGTTTGAACCAAAACCCGATTACCCATTCCCCGAAGAACTCAAATATATAATTTATTTTGAAATCGAACCTCAAATCGAGGTCCAAATCCCCAATTTTTGGAAAACCTAGGTTCTACCCAAAACACCCAATTTCCCCCATGAAAATCATTGATTTTAAGTTGAAATCATGTTAAAAGATGTTAATGATTGAAGAAAACTAGTTAAAAATGACTTACAATTGATTTGGAGAAGAAGAAGCCTTTGAAAAATCACCTAGTGTGTTTGTGTTTTGAGAGAATATGAAAAATGAGTTAAAATTCATCCAAGTATAAAAGTTGCAGGTCTCAGATGTGGGAATTGCGAACAGGGGTTCGCAATTGCAAACCCCGACCTCTGCTAGCTTGGGAATTGTGAAACAGGGCTCGCATTTGCGAACCATTCAGGAAAACTAGACTTTCGCATTTGCGAAAGGGACCCTCGCATTTGCGAGGCCGGAATTGCGAAGAACAACTCGCATTTGCGTGGTAAGGCAGGCCTGGGCTGGTTCGCATTTGCGACCAAGCCCTCGCATTTGCGATATCGCATTTGCAAGCCAGGCTTCTCATGATCATACCAGCAATGAAACCTGTAATTTTTCTAAGTCCAAAATGCACCCCGTGGCCTATCCAAAGCTCACCCGAGCCCTTGGGCTCTAAACCGAACATACACACAACCTAAAAAATATACTACGGACTTATTCATGTACTTCAATTACCAAAATAACATCATGAGCATCAAATTAAACCTCAAGATCAATGAAATTTCTCAAAACTTCTCTAAACATCAAATTTGCATTTAAGGTCCGAATCACGTCAAATGGATTCCGTTTCTTACCAAACATTACCGATAACACATATAAATCATATTTAACCTGTACCGGGCTCCGGAGCCCATAATACGGGCCCAATACCTCAGGTTTCACATAACATTTCACTTTCAAAAACCTTTATATTTTTCAGAAAATAATTTCTTTCAAAAATTTATTTCTCGGGCTTGGGACCTCGGAATTCGATTCCGGGCATACGCCCAAGTCCCATATTTTCCTACGGACCCTCCGGGACCGTCAAATCACGGGTCCGGGTCCGTTTACCCAAAACGTTTACCAAGGTCAAATTAATTCATTTTATAGTCAAAACTTATCATTTTTCACACAGAATTTCATATTTAAGCTTTCCGGCTACGCGCCCGGACTGCGCACACAAATCGAGGCAACTCTAAATGAGATTTCCAAGGCCTCGGAGTCATAGAATTTAGTTTAAAACAATTGATAACCCTTTGGGTCGTCACAGCCGACCCCTGATGCAACCCCATGATAACCAGAAAATCGTTTGATTTCCCACCCACCGTCCTTACTCGGGTCTTTGCTCCATCATACATGTCCTTAATCACCCTAACATAGGCAGCAGGTACACCTCTAGCCGCCAAACATCTCTACAGAACCTCCCTCGGAACTTTATCATACGCCTTTTATAAGTCCATGAACACCATATGCAAGTCCTTCTTCCTCTCCCTATACTACTCCATCAATCTCCTAACAAGGTAGATGGCTTCTGTAGTCTAACGCCCCAGCATAGACCTGAACTGGTTCTCGGAAATAGACACACTCCTCCTCACCCTTAGCTCTACCACTCTCTCCCAGACTTTCATAGTATGGCTAAGTAGCTTGATACCCTGATAGTTATTGCAATTTTGAATATCACCTTTGTTTTTGTATATAGTAACCATCTTGCTCCACCTCCACTCTTCGGGCATCTTCTTCATTCTAAAAATGACATTAAATAACCTAGTGAGCCACTCCAAGCCAGCCTTGCCCGCACTCTTCCAATACTCCATCGGGATTTCATCTGACCCGGTCTCTTTGCCCCTACTCATCTTACGCATATACCCCTCCACTTCATCAACATTAATCCGCCTATAATACCTAAAGTCACAACGACTCTCGAAGAGTTCCAAATCACCCAATAAAATGCTCTTGCCCCCTCCTTGTTCAAGAGACTATGGAAGTAGGTTTGCCATCTCCGACAAATAAGCCCTTCATCCAAGAAAACTCTACCTTCTTCGTCCTTGATGCACTTCACTTGGTCCATGTCACGATCCTTCCTTTCTCACGCCTTGGCTAACTTGAACAACCTCTTATCCCCACCTCGGCCCTCGGGTTCCTCATACAAACAACTATAAGCTTTAGTCTTGGCTGTCGTAACTTCTAGCTTTGCCTCTTTCTTAGCCAACTTATATTTCTCCATATTCACCCTCTTCTCCTCCTCGTCTACACTTTCCACTAGCTTCAGATACGCCGCTTTCTTGGTTTCCACTTTTCCTTTAACCTCTCCATTCTACCACCAGTCTCCCTTGTGATCACTAGAATAACCCATTGAGACCCCTAATACCTCTCTCATGGATTCCCTAATGCACTGCGTAGTTGTGGTCCACATAATGTTTGCATCCCCACTACTCCTCCAAGCCCCCATAGTCAGCAGCTTGACCCCCAAATCTTGCACTTCAGATTCCGTTAAGGCTCCCCACTGATCATATGTTGGCTATACATCGCTCTCATCCTCCTCTCCCTGCAGAGTAAATGATTAATCTGAGTCTCGGCCACCGAACTAGGAAAGGTGACCAAGTGCTCCCTCTTCTTTGGGAAACTCGAGTTTGCTATCACCAAATCAAATGCTCTAGCGAATTCCTGCAGAGACACTCCTCCTTCGTTTCTATCTCCAAAATCAAAGCCATCATGAATATCATCATACCCCCTAGACGTCGCTTCAATGTAGCCATTGTAATCTTCTTCTATTAAAAGCTTCTCGATATGCGGGATACCACGCACAATCTCATCCAAATCCTCCCAAAATTTCCTTTTGTCTTCCTCATCCAAGCCTGCTTAGGGTGCGTACGCACTGATTATGTTCAAAGTAAAACCCCCAACAACAAGCTTAATAGTCATCAGCCAGTCATTCACCCTCATAACCTCCACCACCAGTTCACGAAGGTCCTTATCAACCAAGATACCTAACCCGTTCCTGCCCCCACCCTCCCAAAAAACCATAGTTTAAAATTTTCCGCATCTCGCGCCTTATCTCCTACCCACCTAGTCTCTTGTACACAGCTATATTAATCTTCCTTTTCTCGAGAATCTTCGCTAACTCTACATATTTTCCAGTCAAAGTTCCTACGTTCCAAGACCCCACTCTCAACCTAGTAGCTCCCTTAGCCCACTTACCCCCTGCACCCACGATGACACCCCCGAGGACAAGACCTTACCCTATCATTGTTTACCAAATCCACTATAATTTAGGAGTCACTACGCAAGCCCTATCCTAAAAACAAGTGACGAAAATAAAATAAAATAAATAACCGAAATATAATCTACCACTAAAGATCACAAAAAGATGAAGAAATAAAATAAAGGAACTAATGGAAACTATAATCTACAACAAAAGATTAGAAAAAACATGTGAACAAATAAAATAAAGGAACTAAAGGGAACTATAATCTTCAAATAAAGGTCAAAAAAATAGCTGAGTAAATACAATAAAAGAGCTAAAGGGGGCTGCAATCTACAATTAAAGCTCAAAAAGAAAATGTCTAAAACTAGAGCAGAACTACTAGGAGATATATTAAATAAAGATTCAAAATGAAGATGTAAACAGGTAGATAACAATATAAACAAGTAGGCAAAGCTATCACTAATGCAATTAATCAGACAATGCTAACTAAAGATTCAAGAACAAATACGCAGGCAAGGAGATATAATTATGCTAAAATATCAAACTATTAAAATATCAAGACAAGAGAGGAACAATAGAACCTGGATTGCACCCCTTGAAAATAACGGATATCTGGCCGACGGTGAAGGATTGCGATAAGCTGGCTGAAAGGGACTATCCGAGAAACCTGGGCCGGTCGTTCTTGATCCTCTATCACTGAGAGGAGATGCACATGCTGGAAAACCACCTGGACAGGAAGTCACGCGCCGACGTGTGATGGGAACTGCACCGAAAAATCGATTGGTCTGGGAGGAATCGATCGATAAATCCCCACACAAACGCCGGCGGTGAAGGGGAGAAATTCAGAGAAAGAAGAGCCAAGATACAGGGAGTTCCGCCGCCAGATTCTGGCCTGTCGCAGTCAAGAAAGAAAAGAGAGGAAGGGGGAATGAGAGAGAGAAAAAGAAAGAAAGGAGGAGGGGCAGAGAAAGCAAGTGAGGGCGGAGAGAAGAAGAGTTAATACCTTACCTGGGTCACCGGCGGTGGTTCTGGCCGATTGTGTTAATGGGGTCAAACCGATCTGACAATTCATAGATATTAAAAATATAATAATACTCGAAAATATTATTCATAAATTTAAATATAGAAATAACTCGAGAAAATGAAACATGATATATATATATATATATATATATATATATATGTATGTATGTATGTATGTATGTATGTATGTTTGTGTGTGTTTGTGTATGTATATCACACAAATTAATAATTAATAAAAATATTGGTAGGTTTTTTTATAAAAATAATAAAAGTGTTATCTCTTTACGTTTGATGAATTTAAAATTATAATTAAGTTAAAAGTATTAAATTATTTACATTTTTAGTAAAATACAATATAAGAAAACTAATCAAATATTACAATAGAAATGAATGTACGAAAAGAGGGGGATAAAGATAATTTTATGATATTTATATTTTGAATTAACTAATAAATAAAATATAAATAAATAAAACTCAAGAAAATTATTTATAAATTTAGACAATTGAAGAATTTTGAACAGTATAATATAATTTAAAAAATAAAATTATCAATAGAGTAAGAAAATTTATATCTATATTATACTAAAAAAAGAATTAGTATCAAAATATTAACCCAATGAAAAGTTAATAATAAGTCATATTAGTAAACGTATCGTATCAAGTACTTGCTAATTTAATAATAATAAAGAATAAATAAGGAACAAATAATGAATTTGATTACTATATAATGTGTATCATTTGATTTTGTACAGATTTTATTATATTTTTGTATACTATATTAAATAATAAAATATCAACTATTGTTTATCAAAATAATATGATATATTAAATAATCATTATATAAGATTAATATTCTGTCAAATTATTCGTTCTAACACTAGTTATTAAAAATAAAACACTATCAAAATTTAATAGATACTTAAATCCCTGAAAAAACCGAGAAAAGGGTCAATATCATATTCTAATTCACATATAAATAAAGAGGATAGAATAGGAATGGACTTCACTGGAGTTACTTCAATATTAATAAGAAGAAAAACGTTTGGCGAGTGTGAAGCAAGACAGCTTACAGACGCCATTAACGACCTAGCTCTATTCCTTTACTACAATCCTCACATAACCTACTGAATTCACTAAGATGACGAGAGTAATTACGCCAGAAAGTGGAAATACCACAAAAAATTAGAAACCGATAGCAACTGTTACATTGGCTCCCTGGCATGGGAAGTGCTCCAACGGTAATGCAAGCTCCACCAGAAGTAGAGAAGACGTCCATGCAACCGGAGGAAGTGACGATGTACACAGCAGCAAGGAAATTGACATATTCAGCTGGATCTCAAAAGCAGACTATGGCGGAAGCAGTAAAAGGGAACAGAACACAATCACAGGGCATGCAATTAAAATTCTATCCACCGATGGTGCAGAATGGCGTGAAAATAGCAAAATTGAACACGAAGGAGATAGATCTGCAAGTCCAAAAATGGAAGACAGCTCTAATAGGGTATGTATTGGGTGGAAATCCATCATTTAAAGAGATGCTAAAATTTGTTTACGGTGTTTGGAATTTTGTTACAACTCCAACAGTATTAGAGCATGATGATGGTTATTTCATTTTTAAATTTGAATCTATGGAGGATAAAGAGAGGGTTATGCAGCAGGGACCGTATACAGCTAACAATAGGCCTATGATTCTAAAGGACTGGGATCCAAATTTCCAGATCAAAGAAGAATCTATGAGAATTGTACCACTGTGGGTCAATTTTCCAGGTCTGTCTATCCAACGTTGGACTGAGGAAAACCTAGGAAGGATTGCTAGCCTT